ACCAAACAAAAATTCTCTCGGAATTCCAAGCCAAAGTTAAAAAAAAGAGTCACACCCACCCTCCCCCATTCATCTTTAATTACTAATTAATTCCTCCTCCTAAGCACCCATCCCTTTGGAGATTAGTCATCTTCCATATTCACGTAAATTTGAGACCAATTCCCTCCCACTTGTCCATGCACAGGAAATGGCAAATCAGTCATTCAACACTAACAAGAATACTACACATATATACATATTACACGTGTTCCACTTTGATAGGTGAGTCTCACTTTATTTCTGCCCTGCTCTTCATTTTTTTCCCTCTAATAATTTAAAAGGTTGTATTATTATATACGTTTGCGCGCGTGTGTTTTTTCATATTCATATAATAACAACTCCTTTATGGTCGTCTTTAATTTGTGGTATTTTTTTCCTCCCAAAATCCTGCGGGAAAACGTAAAAGGAGAGCACACTATGGAAGCATGTGAATATTTTGAAAGTAATGGGAAGAAATAATTAAAAATAAGTGAATGAAAGGGGCATTAAAAAACAAAAATATGAAGTGATTAGAAGAAAGAAGCAAAATCAAAGAGAGGCTCTATCCGTTCTCTGGAATTGCGCATTACAAACAAAAAAACTACTGTTTGGATTTACTGAGCCAACGCAGCCCACGTGTGTGACCTTCCTTAACTTACAGCCTAACTTTTCTTAACCATTTTACTATTCGTATTACATTTTTCTATCTCTTGCCTCTACTTCTATTAAAATTTTATCATAAATTTGCCGTTAACAATTAAAACCCAAAAAGAAAAAAAAATGATTGGAGCAGAATGGGACTTAGAAAATGGGATGTCACGTCCAGCCTTTCAATTTTGTTATAATTGTTGCTCTGAATGTGAAGTTCCCATGAACTGTCCAATTGGGAACAAGGTAAGAGGAGGACTTTTATGACCAGTTCAGATTTCTTTCTCTATCATTTTTTTTCAAAAAAATGATTAATTATTCAGATGTGTTGTGTGTAACTTGTAGCAAGGGGTAAAATTGGCCGAATAATAATAATAATATTAATAATAATAATAAGGGGTGAAAATTGAAAGCTTGACCAGTGCTTTCTTGCTCCCACTTTCATGCCTAAATTTCGCCCTCTCCCGCCAGTTCATGCATTAGTGTCATGCTCCTCAAAATTAACTCCTTACTTCTATTTTTTTTTTCTCAAGTTTCGGAAAAAAACCTATTATTATGGTTTCATAATTTTTATTCACATTTTAACTTTAAATTCAATCCTAAAATAAAATTATATAATTTGACTATAAGTTATGGCACTCGCACCGCTATAAATCTTGTCAAATATTGAGTGATTATATGGTTAAAATTTCCTGACCAAATTTAGACGTAGATCTAATAAGTATCAAAACCGTCTTCTAATTAATATAACTTTTAAAATAAATTATATAAATTTATTTCAAAAATACATATAATTTAAGTCAATTAGAGTGAATTTACAGGATAATAGGGGGGGGGTATATAAAGTACTGCCTAGAATTCAAACCCTCCAAATATGATAAAAACATGCAAGAGCCCTTGTGTGAAAATCAATGATTTGTTGATAGAAAATTGAAGCAGTTCAAATGGAAATTTTAGAATATATATATAAAAAAAGGAGACATATTTTGAGAAAGCCGTAAATTTAATTATCATGCTTTTGTCTATCCCACAAGGGCAACAGTAACCCGGATTCCTGCTTATATATTGAGTAATCAGGCTGAAGCACTTTTCAAGATCCCCCTAATTCTGTTTCTTCCCTCTCGTTGCTCTCCTCTTCTCTCGCTGAAAATACATCTAATTTGTCATCTTTGAGATTCAGAGCATGGACAATCAACGCAGCCCTCAGCTTAGTTGGGCTTACTTCTGGCAGGGAAAGGTGCCTACTTTCGTCTTATCCTTCTGTAGTTCTGTTGTTACCATTTGATGTTGCTCTCTTCATTTACTTTCTCCTTAATAATGTGTAATGGGGTTCGTTCTCTTTGGATTTTGGGGACTAATTGTTGATTCTCTGATGCATAACTATGATGATGCAGTCAATGGACGAACTGAGGCAGTCCCTCTTGTACACCACTCTAGAGCTGGAAGAAACAAAGGCCGCAGCACATGAGGAACTCAGAAAGAGGGACGATCAACTCGTCAATCTCAAGGATCTGCTTAACAAAACCATTAAAGAAAGAGACGAAGCGCGCGAGAAATGCCACAAACTTCTGTTGGACAAGCTTGTTTTGCAGCAGCAGCAACAAGCTCCTCTTTCTGGAGTTTCCAGCATTGAAGACGAACCCAGAAGGGGAATTGACTCCAACAATGGCCTCTCTTCATCAGACTGTGAAGAAAGTATTGTTTCTTCTCCAGTTATTGACCATCTCCCTCAACCCCAATTGCCACCAGCACCCCCATTAACGGCGACTCAATCCATGATTGAGTTGGCTCCTGAAAAGCCATTACCAGAAAAAGGCAAGCTTTTGCAGGCAGTGATGAAAGCAGGCCCTCTGCTTCAGACTCTGCTTTTGGCGGGACCGCTTCCTCAATGGAGACACCCACCACCCCCACTTGATTCCTTCGAGATTCCTCCGGTCACCATTCCTTCACCACCGCCGCCGCCGCCATCATTACCACCGCAGCTTCTCCTCCAAGATTCCTTTATCCATACTAACGGTGTTAGCAGCACTCCGACCAACTGTGGAAGAATTAGTAGAAAGAGGGCATTTTGTCAGGGCTCTGAGAATCCTACAGAGGCCAAGTACCAAAGGGTTGTACTCCCTTGACCGCCAGATTTGCCCAATTAATTTATGATTTTGCATATTTACTAGTTAATAGGATCAAAGGTTAGAACTTTAGCGCAAGGAATTGAAAATGGCAAGCTGGGCGTGCCGTATGTGACTGATCTAGCATCTGTACAGTGGTTTGTTCTAGAGAGGAAGTTATTCGGATTTAACTGGTTAATTAAGACATAGGCTTTGAGGCAATTTTATTTTGGGTGAAGAATATGTAATGGGCATTTTGGCCTCTTCACATTTAGTTTTGATTTGCCTTCTCTGAATCTGCAATGTAACTAATTAGATAGTTTAGCTCAGCAAGTGATGAGAGTGTGTGTGGATGTTTGTGTGAGATTGATCCGTAAGGGAGGGATGGGTGTGGAGTCGTTGGGATTGGGAGATGGGTGGGACTGCGGCCAACGACCAAAGGGAAGGTTTTGAGCCCTGCTTGTCGGGTTATGAGGACCCACAAATCAGAATCAGGATCTGTTATTAGTGTAGTGTATGATTACTCTCTCCCTTTCATGTTATTTACTACAAATATTTCTGTTTTCTCATCTCTCATAATATTTGTTAATTTCAGATTCTAAAAATTTAGAAAACTTAAAGACATACTAGAAAAGAAGTAGATTAATGTTACAAAGCCTCATGTCATTCAATGATCTCTTTAGTTTTTGTAAAAATTGTTTTTGGCAGCAACTAATATTAAACGGGGGGAATATATTAAGCCTAATCCTGCAAAAGCTATCATGATTTAAGTCTAATCTTATGTTGCTTTAAATTATTTCTTCTCTCTTTAGTTTTAGTTTTACTATTTCTTTGAGGCAATTCTTTATGTTCTTGGTATCTGCTCCCACTCAACTCAACCGGTTTATGCTTTCTTTAGGAGCGCGCGAATATTTCTCCATGTACGAACGGGAGCAGATAATGTTGACTAATAATCTCTATGTTACCTATCATATCCGATGAAAAGCATGGCTACGAAGGAAATAAAAAAATCATAGATTCCACCAAACAAAGGTTGTATGCCGGATGGTAGGATGAAAAAGTTAAATTGTATCGTTCGGCCGGAAAAAGAAAAGTGTGAGGCATCGGTATCCAGTAAACATGGGGTAGTTTCACTGCCGCTGTAGCACCACGTAGCTTATCCCCCAATTTTCGTATATTTCGTCCGAACAAGCCTTTTGTTTCTGGAGTGCCCATGTCTTGGTCCAACTTTGGGAATTTAAGGATCCCGAGGAAGGATGGAACCTGGGCATGTTAAAACAACTGCGCCAAGCGAAACGGTGTTCTTACTTGTTAGAGAAGGTGTCGAGGTTAAGGGCGGGTAAAAGAAAGAAGACACGGATAAAATCTTGTCGAGGGGAGACAAGTCACAGAACAGCTCTGCCATGTCAGTAACGAGGAACCTCAAAGGCAGGGGCATTTTGACCCGTATGCTTTCAAGTAAATTGATTTCTTTGTTGAAAGAACGAAAAACGGTGTAACTCTCAAGTCTCATCCAGCTAGCTCTGCTTAGACGCATTACGTCAATGTATCCTTGCACAGGACGGCAACAAACAGCAAATTCCTGACAAATACGCTGAGCCACATCCCTAATAGTGAAACCGTCCGCAAATGGCGCTACTCATCCCTCCTTTAACCTAAACATTTCCAACCTTTGTCAATACAACGGTTTCAAGAACGTAGCGCATGGGCCTCTTTCGAATCATGGCAAAAAACCAATAAAAACCCCACAAATGATACACAAGAAGTCGCAATCTACACACAGCACAGGGGAATCCAAAAGGGGTTTCAAACACAGTTAGGTCGACTCATGCCAGAAAGCGTGGAGGCTTGACGAATATCGCCATGTTACGTAGTGCAGACATTGTTCAAAAACATTAGGCAGGCGAATACCTAGGTGTCTCCAGCACCACAATCATTGTACCCAGTCCATTTCTCTCCCCACGCTACTCTGGCTAACACAAGACACCTGGGATTGATTTTATAAATATTTCAAACAGCGACTTCTAGAATTAGTAAGTCCCATCGATCTTCCACAGCATCCGAATGTGCCCTGGTAATCACTTGGCAGATAAGCTACAATAGAGACAGTCGGGGTTTATAGCTGGGCCAACTGCGAAATGTCTAAGCACCTACTATTTGCCAACGCTAGTTGAAAACCTTTACTGCATTGTACCCACAAAAAAAAAAAAACTGTACTGCAGCACAATGTTGAAGGAACACGATGGGCATCTATTATTTTCTGGACAATCGAAACTACTTGCACATGGCTCCTGACAAATGAGATAAAAGTATCTACAATCTGACGGATGATTTACATGTTCTACAATTAGATATTCGAAATTAGATAGCAAGTAAATGATGACAAATTACAAAACCCATATCGCATCATGCCTAATGTATACACTGAGGCTCGAAGCCTCCGTGATCTTACTCCATGTTAGATGTGCAATTTTGCCCCCTGCCCGATGCTTGAAGGGCAAAAAAATTTGCATTTGCATATCAGATGTTGATGTTTTAATGAACGCCATCTCGTTTGTGAGGAACAAGAAAACTTCTCTCAATCATCTTCATCATCCTGGTTGTTTGGGTGATTATGCTTTTGGGCAGAATACATTTCAGCAACCTGAAAATCAGTTAAAACCTTGAGATTGATAAGCTAAGGCAAGAGACGAACACAGCAGAAGAATTCGTGGCTCTTATCTCAATCTTCTATCATGTGCAATTAACTGGTCAGAATACAAGATATTTCTTTACCATCTCAGATGATGAGGCTTGTTCAGAAGCTTTGTCATCCCGAACTCGAACTAGACGAGGGAACCGAAGAGAAATGCCCTTTATCAAGAAAGACACGTCTATAAGAAGTTCAACCATTGATAACAGGTACAACACCGTGAAATGAAAATTTCTAAGTACTCCAGTATCAATGCATTGTTTGTACCTTATCCGAATCTACTATGCCTGCTGCAGCACGATGAACAGGGCTAATGGTCAAGTCTGCTGCTTTCACCTCCCACACCTGTAAGAAACAAAGCCACATGAGTGATAACAAAAAGATTTGCATTAATGAAGGTACCGCATTCAAGAGTTCCCGTCAATGTTGTTGTTTATTTTTTATTTTTTTGGAAAAAACATCTCAGGTTTATCGCTGTCATGCAAGGGACACTTCATAGAAGAAGCTGTCATGCCTGCCCGTGTTTAAAACTTGTATCAAACACAAAGCAAGACTTCAAATTGCACCAGGAGGGAAATTTAATTGTATCACCACTTTTGTGTTTGCGTTCATGTCATATCGATGTCCATGCTTCTTGATTCTTCTCAATATTATTTACCAAAAAAAATGGTAAATATAATTAGACAATTTACGTCACCTTCACCTATTACCTGAAAGTTAAATTACCATGCTAGGTGCCTATTAAGAAAATATACATATAGAAAAAACAATGCCATTGAATGAAATGCATCATCCAAATTCCCAGAGATAATTAAAAAGAAAAATGAAAACATAAATGCATTCATACTATATGTTATGATTAGTGGAAATATGGCACACCAAGGACTCAAACCACATGACCATACATCACCAAATTTGAAAACTTGATCACAATGTGAAATCAGATCCTCTTAGCATCTAGATGCCAGAAAATATAGGCACAGACAACTGTGTGGAATAGCACACAAGTGAAATGGAATTAAAAAAAAAGACAAAAAAAGGATGCAGATTATCAAGGAAGGTTGAACTCATGCACCTCCGAGGCTTCAAACCATACATCAGGATTGATTGTCTCTCCATATCGATAATAAGGCTGCAATTAAGAAGCGAGTTTAAAACAGTCATACATTATTAATCAGAACATAAACAAACCGGGTTCAGAGAGAATGAACAGAAGAAAAAGAGAGACCTTTGGTTTGGGAATCACTTTAGAACGAAGACTAGCAGAACGTTCTTCAAGAACTGCCTCTGAGAATCCCGTGCCTACTCAGCGTAAAATGAAAGTTATGAAGCAGAACTAATTCTAACATACCAAGGGTATTGACTTGAAATGATGAAACTGACCTATTTTACAAATGCTTTGAAATTCTTCATTATTGCTGTCATAACAAGCAAGGAGAAAAGCTCCATAGACCCCTACAGAGTAGTCATCATGACCATTCATTTAATGCAAATGTAACCCAAAAGCATACGACAGAAGTACTAGAGAGAATACAAAGGTTAGCCAGGCTTGGCTTCATTTTAACATGAGGCAGAACACTGGAGCCAACTGTCCTAAAGAAGAGAAAGAACACAAACAAACATCTGCTCTTCATAAGAATAAACCAAAAGATCACCTGTACGTTTCCCACGACCATGAAAAGCAGCAATAGGTACCAAATCTAGCGAGTCTCCTATACTGAAAATAAGAACCAGCAAACAAAACAACAATAAAAAATAATTAATAATTAATAACGTGAATATAAAAAAGGAAATGAATATTGCATCCTTACTTGTCAAGATAATCTTTCTTCAGTTTTAGCCAGTTGAGTGACCGCTTGGAAGGTTCATACGTAGCATCTTGATATAGAGTTTTGATAATTAAACCCTCACAACTGCAAATCAGAGGAAATACCAAAATATAACGATATATACATTGAAGTCCAAGTGAATTGCATAAGCAACACCCTCTAGTAATAGTAACAATTCAACCCCAAGAAGATATATTTTAGAGAATGAACAGAAGGATGAATTTCCTATCTACATGAATTCCAAATAAATATGAATGATACCTAGCCTCAACTGCTGCATCAAGAAATGTTTGTATTTCCTCAATATCATTTGATGTTATTGCTGTTGCAAACTGAAGAAATCCAGGTTCTTCCTCGAAAGAGGCATAGAGATGCTGCAGTGAGGAAATGACAGTTTATAGCAAGTACATTGTTATGTAATTATAACTATAAATAAGAAAATACTTAAATATGATATAAATAGGGTTTAAATAAATATTATTAGGATTTAGATAGTATTTAATTATATTAGTAGGATTTGGATAGATTAGGATATCTAGATAATATTTAGATAATATTAGGATATTTTATCTATTAGGGCTTTTGCTTATAAATAAGTATTTGCCATTCTTTGTATCTCAGTTTTGCAATGTGATTAGAAAATTATTCAGTTTCTCTTGATCCTCTACTCTTCTCTAATTCTTCTCTTTTTCTATTACTCTTTTTCCTTTCTCTTTCCTCTTTCTCTCTCCTATTTCTTTACTTTTCATAACATACATGATACGTAAAAAATTCATATTGAAATTTGATCAACAGGGCATAGGCAAGCAACTGAATTCCAACATGGCCCCAAGAAAACCCGCCACTTTAGGCCTTGATATGAAACCATCACATCCTCATTTTGAATATTCTATCCGGAGTCAGCCACTCTTATAATTGCATGTCCAACTTCACATCATCTTAAACAGCCGAGCAGCTTCAATGAAGCTTAAGCACCTCAGACAATTGCAACAAGGACTCCATGATTCAAGAATCTAAATAAAATCAATGGCAAAACAAAGACAGTGCTATACCTCTCTTCGGGTTTTTAGGGTTTCTTGAAGTAGTGGCTTGCCATTGAGATACAAGATATCAAAGGCAAATACGCATACATCAACTTTTATATCACTCATAGAAACATTTTTCCGGGCTCGAGTACTGAGAACCTGTCACAAAACTTGGCATTCAATAAATATCCAAGAACTACTTTTTTGTAAAACATCAATAACTGATCAGCTACACAGTCACAACATAGATAAAATGATAGGGTGAAAAAAAAGCATAATCAATTTCTTAAGAACATGACTGATTTGTTATTCGTAACCAACTCATCATAATCACAAGAACTATTTCCTTCGCATCTTACCTGGAAAGGAAGGATTTTCTTTTTTTCTCGTTCATATGCAACAAGTTCACAATCAAGAACAAATGATGACACAGATGATTTCTTTAGCCTGTTGAGTAGCAGCAAATATTAGCAACCAGGTTGACACAAGTATTGGGATGCAATTGGAGTGCATGTCTCAAAATTAAGAAAAAATATCTTGAGACAGTGAATGTCCCTGTAGATGACAATGACAAAAAGATGCTATTCCTCAAATATAATGATTCAAATTTACCTTGAAATAGCAGCAACAACATCAGGAAACTTTCCAGTGTTCCGTTCAGCATTTCTACTGTAAATCTCAACGGATCCATTATCCATGTAATGTACCTGTTTCAATAAAGCTATCATTACTATGATAAATATCATGAGCAGTATATTTCTGGTGGCGGGTTAGACCAGAACATATCACCTGGGCACGTTCTCCATCATATTTGTACTCACACGTAAACTCTACATCCTGGAATTTGTTTAAGATTTCAGATACACCCTTAGTTGCTTTAGACAACATAGGTCCAACTGGAACACCAAGAGTAAAGTTACACGTCTCTGGAAGTTTCCATACACCACCACTAAGCAATGCAGGAATTATTTTGTCATACACAGGAAGAACAGAATACACCTGTTTAACAATCTTTGCAGCCTGATGCAAAAACAAACAACAATATCAATCGTTTTTTTCACAGAATACAAAAGAAATTTGATTAAAATGCAGAATAACTAAGGAAAAAGTGGCTGATATCTTCAACAGGAAGCACCAGCATTTGCACTGAAGACCTATTTCAGTTGAACTCACAAATCATCCTTCCAACTTTCACACAAAAAGCCTATCACTTAAACTGCTAGCATGTGCTCCAAATGTCTTAAACCAAATCATCGCATTGCCTTCACCACAGACTCAAAAGGGAGAAATTATACACTATAATCTTTCACTTCACATATCATATTCTGCAAACTCAAGGACATTAAGTTACCTCTTCTAAAGGAGATTGAATTTCAGGAGGTGGTACAGAATGTCCTTCCGTGTATACTGCAGCCTGGCCCAATGCAGCTAAGAGAGTTTGCTCAGCATACCCAATCCGCAACTTTGACTGCAAATAATAATGACCATAATTATAATACTAATAACATTGAGAAGAAAGCCCACCATAATATTTCAGTAAATACACCATGATTGCAACCTGAAGCAGACGAATTAGATATTGAGGTTCACAATCAGTTGCAGCAACAAGAAGTCCCTTGATGTGATTCTTTTTCTTCTCTTGGCTGTCTTTACCAGATTCCTGTACATATTTAAAGATATGGGGCAAATCAGTAGCAGACACTAGAAGACAGCCAGATTAAGGAATTAATAAATTGAAACGTTCTGGTGCCCAATAAATTCCTCTTTTCTTCTCTCATATCCTAATAGTATTCAACAAACTAAAATAATTTTAAAGGTCAAATAAAACACACACAAAGTCACCTACTCTTTTTCAGAGAACAAAAAATGCCTGTGAGATAGAAAACAATAAAAATCCCACAAATACATTATAAAAAATTGGTTCTCCATATTCAAGGTTTAATAAATAATAACAAAATTCCAACCAACAAGTCAACAACAGATGATAAAGTTAAAATGGACAAGCACGAATCATCTGCATACATTACTAAATTCCAGTCCTTTCCTAAAATTATAACAGCACTCATGCTGCCTAACCCCTCAGAGGAAATGGTTTTAACATAAAAAGTACAAATGTGATGCATTGTACCTTGGCAATGAGACGAAAGGTGTTAAAAACCTTCCTAATAGTTAATGGATCAGGCTTCCACATCATTGATTGAGATGAGCGGCTTGCTTTGGCAACAAGGCCCAAATCACCTTTTTCCTATCAATAACAAACAACAAATAAGTGCTACCAACCAGAAACCAAAGTTCTTGAGGATATATGAACTTCTTTGATCAAATTTCATTTCAAAAGGAATTATTATAGACTACACAAGAGGCTTTACATTTCATAAATTAGGAAAAGCGAAATTTTAATGTCTGTCATGTGGTGCCCCCATGATACCAAATCTAACCGTATGCATTTGCATGGGTACGCATACTAGAGGATAAGCCATCATAATTATATTCCCAATCTCTTTCTCCATAATAACGCTAGCATCCAACGTAAGGAAAGTCCTTGTATTTATCATACGGGGATTAAAAAATCGACCAACAATTTGGCTGTTCAGTCTCTGGCGAAGAACACAAAACAAGATGCGGGCAGACTTATTCTTTTTGTTAAAGAAGACAATAACAATGCAGAACTCATGCAGGGTAAGCTATCAAATGTTTGGGCAAAAGCTAAAACCCCACAAGCATCACCTTATACTGATTTTTTATCTGCGCCTCAGTTCTTCCGCATGCCTCTGCAAGCGCCTTAATAATTGAAGCATCCCCTATTCCCAATTCCAGCCCTTCATGTGCCGGAGCAAACTTATTTGCGGAAAGATAAACAACAGCCACCAGATCCTCGGGTGTAGTGTTCATGACAGTCCTCAGCATATTGCATACTATATCTGTCATCACAATCCGTCCTGTTTCTTCCGAAATCATATCAAATGCCAAACTGAGAAACAGAAAAGGCACAGGTTCACCCTTGTCCCAACAAGATATCGAACTGGGGTCAAAATCTGCAGGCTTCTTCTTCAAAAGAGAAACTTTTTTCTTCAGTTCTGTAATCTTCTCCTGGGAACCTACAACGCGCATTCTCTTCGCCGCAAGTGCATCCTCTGGCCCCGTCAGCCCACCATTGCTTAAGTCTTCTTTCGTCGGCTCTTGTGCCTTCTCGGAAGCTTTAATTTCAGCGCATTTAGTATCATTACTGGGTTCCAAAGACTGACCTGTACTTTCCGTGTTCTTGAGGAGTTTAGGGTTTTGACTTGAATTAGAATCCGGTGTTTTCCGTTTCTGGGGAGACGATGATTGGGGCTTCTTCTTGGCGGCGGCACGAGCCCCTGACATGAGAGCATCGAAGGCAGAAGGTCGTGACGACATGCTGCGACAGCGATTATGTGTAGGCAAGAGGATGGGCTTGAACGCGAAAGTTTTAGGGGTTGTGAGAGAAAATTCAAGACGAAAGAGAGACCTGACGGGGTAAAAGAATGGGGGAGAGAAGAAGGAACGTAATGAAGGCATGAAACAGAGGGGAAGAGAAGTGAGCTGGTTCCCGGGTTTGCCAGAAAACAACACTGGAAGAGAAGACACACAATACAAATGGCGGGAAGGGAAGAAAAAAAAAGGGTCAGACAAGGAAAAAAAGTTAATATAATTTTTGTCATTACTCTGATTTTAATTTTGATCATTTAAAAAATATTTGGATGGGAAAAAACACTTTTTCTTAAATTGAGACAAATTCTTCTATATATTTACTTCATATTCTATAAAATCACTTCTAAAACGATAATTTGGTTTTGATCTAAACACTTCCTAAACTTCAAATCATAGGTGTTGGTCTTTGAGGGAAAAAATAATCCAAGTACTTATTAGATTATAAGAATAAATGTTTTATATGAGATGAAATTTAAAGGATTACAACCTATGTTTTGAAAGTTGAGGAATAAAAAGCGAGAAAATTTGATGGACCAAAAAATATATTAAACCGAAAAAAAGAAAAAAAGAGAGGAGGAAATAGAAATAAAAGGCTCTGAAAAATTACATTTATTATAAAGACATAAAATTGTGATTATTTAGAAAGATTAAAAGTTAGTATTTTTAAATTTACATGTTGATGTTTAATTCTTCTGAAAAATTAATTAATTACAGATTTTTGTAATATTCTTTGTTCAGTGGTCAGAGCCACCAGCCATGTGTGAAGAAAAATATTGTTGGGTGACCCGCACCCTGCTTGTCTTGTCCAGCACCAAATATGGGCCGAGGGCCGTTTCCTGAGAGCAGAAGTTCAACCCAAAAAGAATTGTCAAGGCCCAAATCTGAGGAGAAAGTGGGCTTTCAGTATTTGTTATGGAGACCAGAAGAGCCGATGTTCCCATCCCCGGAGAAGAACAAGACATGGTGAGGAACTGCAAGATAAACTCTGGAGGGCGAGATTGGAAGAATGCGAAGTTAGAGGGGCGCAAGTGGAGTGAGAAATTGAGGTTTTTGTCGTTAGCTTGTCCCTGCATCGCACCAGATTCCTTCCGCTTTGTGGGACAGTTTCCCCATTCCCAGACCGCCGCTTGTACTACTTTCATTGGGTTTTGGCCTTCCCTTCCCTTTCTCACAGACATAAAGATATATACGAGGAGAACGACAAAACTAATCACAATTTAATTTCAAATTCAGTACTCATTTTTTTATATATGAGAGTTAGCCTTTTTAGGAGGTCCTTAGTTTGTGATTCTTAATGATATAAGGCTACGTTTGATTCTTATTATATTCTTCTGAGTAATATTTATTTTTTAATTATCTTTTTTAATAGAAATGAATATATTATTGTCTTATAAAGTCGTAATTGATAGGTTGTCATGTAAGGAGTAAAGTTGAGCTCAATGGTAAGGGACAAGATAATAACTTATTAGTTTATTGAACGCTAATCTCAAACGTCTAATATTTAAAAAGAATTTGGTAAAAAAAAAAACTTAAAAAGAATAAAAGTAGTGTTTGGAATATTCTTTATTTTCGACAGGTGTTGGGTAACGTAATACTTATTAAATCTCAACCATTTAAATTTAACATGAACAGCAGGTATTTAATATTTAATATTTTTATTTTTAAAAAATATTTTTTTAATAAATACATAAATCAAAATAAATATAATCTGTTAACCATAGTTTTTTTTTGAAAAAAATAATTTTATTTAAAAATTACTAGTTGAAAATTTTAAATCTAAACCATTAAAATTATATAATAGTTTAGATTTTTCCGTAACAATAAGTTTTATAGCATTCATACAACTTTTTTTTTTTTTTTGACCAAGAGCATTCATACAACTTTGGTTGTTCTAATTTGAGGTGAATATATGGCTGATGTCCACCCAATATCCGTGACCAGCACTGGGCTAACATATTTACCGAGTTCGTTCTGAAATTAATCGACACAAAACAAGAGAACTTACAGAGCCTGTCTCCTATTACACACGAGCAAAAATGTTGATACATACAATCAGCATATAAATACAGTAGGCTTCCTGAGCCATCCCATGGGCGCACCTCCTTGCTTGTTGAGGCACACATGATCGAAAGTAATAGCAAACCATTGTCGCATGTGAGCTCTGATATCTCATTTACTGTTAGTCGATTCAAAGAAAAATGGTTCCGAATGACCTTCAAAACTCGGACGAGTTAAGTACTGTAGCAAAACGTGTTGGAAGGAGATCGAAGATCATTAAATATGGCGGACTGGTTTATTATCTTTGTTGATGCCCACCCAAATATGGCGGGGAATTGTTTAGGGAAAACAAAACTGACACTCTCTTTCTGCAGAATAAATAAAAGGAAGAAGGCAGAGAGATGAGACAGATGTGAAGCAGAGGCGTGAGGAGAGACGATATGTGGGAACCGGAAGCTGGCACGTGGAAGCATATGCCCTGAGAAACGTCTTACACGCCCCACAGCGTGTCTTCCACATTCATCTTTAGCATATTTAACTCCACTTCTCATCTGCGCTGACCCCCACCTCCTTCCTCTCATCTCCTTCTTCATTCTCTCTTCATGCAGCACAAAAACATATAAACGAAACCAAGTCAATGAATCCCAAAACAGGGTTCCTGCATGCATCATTGCACTATTGCAGTACGCTGCTCAAGCTTATTACTCCAATAACTTATTTGCACATCTTCTCAGGAAGCTCCTGGCAGATTGATGCCTATATTCCCTCCATTATTTTATGTTGGTGATTCACCCTCTAATTTTTATATTCCGAGTTCCAGCCCCTTCAGTTTGTAATTTATCCTCACCACCAGCGTCATCATGTTCCCCCTTTGATTCCATTCACACCATAATATTACTATATTAGCATTTATACACACCAATCTATGGGCACAGTGCTCATTATTTTATCCCCAGGTCCTGTTCATCAGAAAAAGACCACCGTATCTCCCACGTACTGGGCAATGACGCCTCCCTTTACTTATTGCTGCAGCTCAACTACTTATTGTTGTTCATCGCTTTGCTTCTTTATTATTATGTATATTTGATGATTTGACACTTCACTAACTAATACGTAAAAACTTCTACTAATTTCTACTCCCCGCCGCGCACACTATGCAAAGTAAATAACTGTGTCCATGACTAAATGTACAACACGCACCTCTAGGTACTCTCAAATTTCTAGGTTTAAATTCGACTGCGGCGACAGAGATGCTGGATTCCTAATTAGAATATTGTTATTACTACTCCAGTAACGCGCTTACTTTTATAAAACATCAGATGTCAACATCGTTTGATGTGTCCGCGAATCTTTAAGTTGTTCACATCGAGTTTAACTGATTAAATAAATGCCAAATACGGCAATGATCTGTGAAAACCCTGGTTCTCAACTATATTTTTAAGCAATACATGAGATTCATGACTGAATGAGACATGAAGAATCTTCTATCGTATTCTCCAATAGAAGAACTATATATACAATTAGATTAGATGTGTCTGTGTGTGCGTTGATAGATTTGAAAGGGAACATACTTTCATCATTTAGTTAACCAGAAGAAATAAAATAATCTATGTTTAGCTAGTTAACAACTCGGGCATGAAGGAACCTGGGGGGGGGGGGAAGATATTCCATTCACACCAAAATTATATTAATGATTTGTATCTCGTATATAATTGAACTAGACCTCTCATGATCCCACCGTGCTCAAAATGGATGCTCACCAAGATCCTCTGATGCACATTAACGACTTCCAGCTTCATGACTTCATCGACGACACCAATGTCGATCAGTTTATCAATTTGCTCCGCGGGGAGAATGAACACTCGTTCTGTAACTTTGATTCTGACCATATCAATGGCTACTTGGCTGATAACCAGTTTCCTCCATTCCCTGCAAACCTGTTTGAGTCTAATGCTGCTTTAAATGCTTATGATCCAAGCTCTACGCTTAGTTCCTTCTCATGTTTTGATGGAGAAGTGAAGGGAGGAAGAGGAGAAGAGGAGAATGATTCTTCTGCAACAACAACCACCACCACTGAAACTACCACGTCTGCTAATGCCAAACAGAAGTCCAAAACTGATCGATCCAAGACACTGATCTCTGAAAGGAGGAGGAGAGGCCGAATGAAGGAGAAGCTTTACGCATTGCGTTCTTTGGTTCCCAACATAAGTAAGGTATGTTTCGCCGTCACAAACTAGATCTAGAGCAAATATACTCTTTTGTGGTTAAAGGTCTAAGCTTTGGCTATGTGGTCCTAGTCTTATTCTTCTACGACGATGGACGATTCGATTCTTGAGATTTAACAAATAGCAAGTTGAAAATTCTCCCGGATGGAAGGAAGGTAGGATTATGGAATATCTTACATGCATCTTTCGCGAACCAGAAATTATAATATTCTAAAAACTACAAAAAAGAGTAACAGCAATAAGATTAAACAAATCAAATGAAGTCATAAAATAGTTCCTTAATTAAAACAAGGGCCTGATGATGGGCTGTGAGTCATCTAGGGTAATGTAAAAATATTGTAACAGCTAAATATTCGAGGCCATCAACTTCTGTTCTATGGCTGTGTGACGTTTCTTCTATTGTTTCTAACAACATTATCTACATTTTAGAATTTACATGAATCTGTGTAGTCTAAAGAGCATCTAGTTTATGTCGGTGAAGGTAAATGCTAAACGTTAACTGGTACAAATATTTGCAGATGGATAAGGCCTCCATCGTGGGCGATGCTGTGGCATATGTGCAGGAGCTGCAAGAGAAAGCTAAGAAGCTGAAGGCTGAGGTTAAAGGCCTTGAAGCCTCTATGCTAGCGTCGGAAAACGACCAAAGATCAGCTAAAATCCCCACGAGTCAAAACAACCACATCCACTATCCGATCTGCATGAAGATCATGCAGGTTTGCTTCATTAAAACTTGATAAGATGCTGTTACTTAGGGCTCTTCAGATTTAAGTTGTAACGTTTTGGTCATGTTGTTGTACAGATGGACATGTTTCAAGTGGAGGAGAGAGGGTATTACGTGAAATTGGTGTGTAATAAAGGAGAAGGAGTGGCTGCCTCCCTCTACAGGGCTCTCGAGTCCCTAGCAGGCTTCAATGTTCAGAATTCAAACTTGGCCACAGTTTCTGACAGGTTTCTATTAACATTTACATTGAATGTAAGCTTTCCTCTCATTGTTAATTATTTACTGATATCTTCTCATTCTGAATGAGTCTCGCTCTTCGCTTGCGGATTTAGTGATGATTGATATGTTTAAAACAGGTGAAAGGTTGCGAGCCAGAAATTAACCAGCAAAATCTGAAGCTGTGGGTGGCAGGTGCTCTTCTTAACCAAGGCTTCGAATTTATTACAACTTTCCATGCTTGATTTATTCACCCTGCGACATCTGACTCTCTCACGGGCTTCTCTCCATCAAAACATGACAAATGAACAATCCTCACTGCGTAGCACCGCATAACAATCAAAAGAAAGTCTTCCCTCTATGTTATGTCCCTAACTCTATTGAAAAAACATGACATGAAACACCTTCGAGAATTTAACTCTCTTGTCCTTCAAAAGAACCATTCTGAGTTGTTGACCAGGAGAACAAACATCGTCTGTTATCACTCCATCCCACAGAGCAGATCGTCCTGGATCGGAGCAAATGTCCAGAAGGCATTTTCGTCTATGATCCTCATAATCTCTCCTTCCTTGCCCATTTTCTCCTCAGGCTGTGTTTGGTACAAGAAAAATAGATTTAAAGAAAGGAAAGTCACTGGGGCACTATACACCTGATAGACAACAAAATAATTTTGTTATGCATAAAAGGAAAGCTCCTCGCATTTACCAGAGAGCTTCCAATTCCCATGCTTTGATTTTTCCTATTTTCATTTTGTGCCAAGCAAGTCTAATATGCCGCCTGTTATGTAATAAATTTGGAAAGATCTGTAATATTTTTCTTGATTTTATTCAGTATCAGAGAATTTTCCTATCCTTTTCCAATTCGTGGGTGTGAAATTTTAATTAAAATCATGTTATTAAATTTGTGGCTTCAATAATATAAATTGAATCTTACAAATTTATCTTCTATAAAATTAATAATAATTTTGTTTATAATTATACAACTTACTTATTAGTAGTATATAGCAAATGCAAGATATCTGATCACCAACGATCTCTATGATGCAAGGAAGTTCTGAATTCCAGCAGCAAAGTTCGCCACAAAGAAGTGGAGCATTTACTGTCGAGTCACAAAAATTGTTATCAAGTTAAGAAAAATTAAAACTGAGTATTTTGATAATAATTTTACAAAATTGTTAGCAAGTCTTTACATCTTTTTAAAAAATAAAATTTAATATTTTTAATTATTAAATATTTGAATTAAAAATCATAAAAGCTTAGAGGCAAATTTTTTTTTCATATACTTATTTGATGTCCAGTACTGTTTGGTTAATTTCGAAAATTGCCCAATCTAATTGATGATAATTTTTTTAAAAATATTTTCTATATTTATACGTATTAAACTTGATCTAGTTTGTGGGTGAAAAATCTAACTTTTAAGACATCTATTTTTTTCCGAATTTTTTTCAGAAAACGTGTAACCATATTAAGTTTTTAATTTTTTTGAACACACCTATCTATTTTTTGAGGAACATGCCAATTTGGTTTTTCTGGAAATTGCTTTTTTTTAATTTATTGCATGAAAATGTGTAACTTTCGAATACACCTATCTAGTTTTTCTCAGAATTTCACTGTTTTTCTGAAAATATGCAGCCATGGTCCGAGATCTTTTGCATAGGTTAATACATATGTCGAAACCATGCCTTGTTTTGGTCAAATTGCTTAAAAAAACCCAAAAGAATTATAAAGCGAAAATAAAACCAAAAAAAAAAAGAATCTTGAATTGGGGGGAAAAAAATAAATGTCGGAAATCGTGAGTGGGAACAGATTTTTACAAGTCAACCATAATCTTCCAAGTTGCACCTGATAAGTTGGAATCACTGGAAAAGGCAGAGAAGAAATTGGCTGGAGAAGAATTGAGAAGATCGCATTGAAATCTGTGTTTGTGCGCGCAAGCTACATCATGTGAGAAACCAGATATGATAACAGTTTTTGCGGGGAAGAAAGAAGGTCATCAAAGATTGTGCTCGCCGGTTTGCCATGGCAAAGCTTCTCAAGGAAAACAAGCGGTCTATTTTTCTCAAGATTCTTGCATACGTCGAACACACCAGTGATGGTCCAGGTTCCTGACATCTTCAAACTTGAAAAAGCCGTCCATCCACTGATCACGAAGGGCCTTTTCCTGCAAGAAACACACATATTTAGGGCCTGTTTGGATAATATAGAAAACCATGGTTTTGGGACCCAAACCATGGTTTATGTCTCAGACTTGCCAAACACCAGGAAAAAAATAGAAACCATGGTTTTGGATCAAAATCATGATTTGGAACTCAAAACCATGGTTTCAGAAGAAGTGAATTCATTCTGTTTCTGGCTCAAATGGGATAGTATGATTGTACCTGTAGAGTAGATCTCAACGATAATATGATTTTAACATTCCTCAATTATTTTTTTATAAACATATTTAATCTTATATTTTATAAATATATATACATATTAATTATATTATTTTATATATTATTAATTATGTTGGTAAAAAAATATATTATTAACAAATTTATTTTTTTAAATTAAAATATATTATAAAATCTATCTTTTATGTAATTATCATATTAACTTATACATATTTTAGTAAAATTTGTACATATAAAAAGTTCTTTTGATAACAACTATCCAAACACTCTAATTTATCAGAATCACTTTTTCACAAAATCTATTCTTTACAAAATCTATTTTTTTCAGAATCTATTCTCCAGAAGCTATTCTCCAAACCATAGTTTGGTTTCATCCAAACACACCCGTAATGGCAATCACCGGAACATAGTTATAAGCAGCGCAGCAGACATCACTGGGAGATAAATAAAACGGCCGTTCTCTTCAGGTTGAGCCGAGCTAATCATCATAGGCACATGCTGAATCATGTCAATGTGGTTATTTCGCAGTCATCCCATCTGGGAACTGCTGGCTATTCAGTTAAGAAATATGACCATTTCCTTTTGCACCATTTATGGTCCTTAAATATATTTGACATTATCTTCCAAATCAATCCAGACAGCACTACTTGAACATGGGTTACAAGTACAAATAGAGAGCATAATCCTAAAAGAGTAGCCTGTGAGGAAATGGGGGTGCCAACTTTCATAATGGCTTCACACCATGGTATTTTACTTGGCAACCTGCCAGTCAGATTTTCTGGGGGTATCCCTTTCCGAGTCATCGGGTACTTTCACACAAAAACTACCCTATTAGATGAGAGAGTCTATTGAACTAATTAATCTTGTGAGGCTCCTCGATATGAGACTCATTACAATATGCATATATACATGTGTCAACACATACAAAAATAGAGGAACAAAGACATAATTCCTCTCCCATACTTATTTTGTACAGTACAAAATCACTTAAAATAAGCTAATCCAATCACATGCATATATCCATGTTTCAATATATCAAAAAGCAGAGGACCATGCTAAAAAAATCACCCACAAAGTCTATTGGAAACCAAAAAGTCCAAAATAGCATCAGAATAAGGGGCAAGTTAGTCAGCACAAAGAATCCAAATACCTTGTTAAAAAGCTGTCCAAGCCTGTTAAACTTAACCATTGAATGAAGATGCACTCCTTGAGTCCCAGTTTTTCCATTTACAGCTCTTCCATGACGGACCACAATCACCATCCACAAAGTTCCTCGTCCTGCTCACACGTCCTCATTAATGAGCGTGCGTGCGCCCCCCTTTAATTGAGAGAAAGCAACCTCATTAGAAACAGTTCTTGTTAAAATAACATGAGAAAGAGCATCCAATGTGTAAACAATAGTAATTAAGTGAAATTTCATGTTTCAAGTCACTCTGCATTAGTAATGACTGAGTCTTTGCTGAGACATTCGCCACCTCTTTGCTTCAATATTCAAGCATTTATTTTCTACGAGGACCAATTCCCTTAGCTAAAACGGAGCATCCAAAAACAGGGAAGTGGAAGACCTCCAACAAGAGAACCCAGGAACTTTAACAAGGCTTCGTATAATCCTTCATGGTTTATAACTGGAAGCCTGATTTTCTGAAGTCCAAACCCATTGAACTTACACTCATCTTAAACCTACCATTTTTCATTTCCTCTTACAACAAGGACTCAAGTGTAACCTTCCACAAGGGCACCGTATAAGAATCATATACAATTCACTCTAACTACTATATCAAATCCTTTTCTCCAGATTAAAGCATCTTTGCACATCGAAGAGACTAAAATAATGATTTCCTTAGCAAACGGTCAATTGATGATTGATCACTTTCTTCAGCCACACTAGTTATAAGCATGCATTAAAGATTAAGGATTCAAACAAGTTAATGAAAAAAAATCAACCAAAATAAAATATTAGGATTTTGACTGTCATCCCTAGTCTCTTCTGGATTGAAGTAGAAAAAAAAATGGAATAAGTTTGGCAGGAACAAAAATCTGACAGCGTTAAAAAAGTGAGGCAGGTTTGAAGGATCACGACTGATCATTTCAAGGGGAAAGAAAAATAAGTTATTCCACATATAACTTTGTAC